TTCTTTACTAAATACAGTATTAATAAATTGAATTAGATTAAATATCACATTATTTTTTTTTGTATAAATATTATAATCTTTACTGCATATTGATTCTAAACTATTTTTTTTTTATAAATAATACAATTCTTCTTTGGATACTAGCATTAATAATTCAAATCAGATCAAGTATTACATTACCTTTTTTTTTGTATAAATATCACAATCCTTCACTGAATATTGACATTAACCTTTCATTTTTTTTTTTTTTATAAAATAAAACAATTCTTGCTAGATACTAGTATTAATAATTCATATAAGATCAAATATCACATCACTTTTTTTTATATAAATATCACATTTCTTCATTGGATATTGACTTTAATCTTTCTTTTTTTTCTTCTTACATAAATAATACAATTCTTTGCTAGATACTAATATATCTTCTTTTTATTAATAATTTGAGACAAAAAAATTCATGTTTCATTTTTTTTTCTTGTATAAGTAATTAAATTCTTTATTGAATACTAATTCCAATCCTCTTTTCATGATAATAATATAATGTATATATTAAAATTGTGCATTGTTAATTTTTATTGTAAATGATTTTACTATCAATAAAATGTGTTGTTGATGATTTTTAGTGTTGGTAAAGTAAATGTGTTGGTAAATTTAATCATGTCAGTAAAATAATTATCAATAATCTTTATATCAATAAAACTTAACTTATCAGTAAAACAAGCTTGTCAGTAAATTGATTGTTGGTGAATCAATTGTCTGTAAAATAAGCTTGTTGGTAAAATAATTGTCATTAAAATATGATGTCTTTGAAATGATTGTTGATGAGTTGAATGACACCATATAGTGTGTATAGCATGTGCAGTATGTATAGTACGTGTATGATATATAACTATCTATATGCAAAATTTTGCAAGGAATAATTTTACTTAGAATACAAAAGGCAGTTTCATAAGGAAACTTTTGAGATATGAATGGTTTATAATTTGTTCTAGAATATTCTAAAAAAAATTTGCGTACTGTACTATACGCAGCACATCACTAGTGACACCCCACAGCTTATTCGAATCATGTTGTTGGGCCTAACAATATTCAAGGCTTAGAAAAAGTAACCACTAATCTACGCAGATCGCATACTAATCGAATCTTTTACTATTTTAAGAAAAATTTTTACACGACAAGACTCTATATGGAAAAAAAGAAAACATAATAAATACAACCAGAACACGACAAAAAACTTTTGGGCGCAAGCTCAGATCGATCTGAAAACTCTGATCAAGATACAGTAGGTCAGATAAGATAATATTTTTTTTTATATACGAAAATCTATTCAAAAAGGAAATGTGGTTGATCACGGGCAACGACAAAGACCAATACGATTAAATGCACGTGTACAAATACACCAATGATCAGAGATATGCCGACAAAAAAGACAGAGAAGGGGTTAAAATAAAGATGTCGATCCAAATAAAAAAGTATTGGTAAGTCTATGAGTAAATTGCTTACTGTAAGCTAAGGTAAAAAATATAGACACTATTTAGTTTCTTGATAGATTATACCCGTCCTCAAACACCTGAAAAATTGAATATGACTGAATCGTTAAGTTTTGATGTGGGCCGATGTTGATAACTTACTGATTTGTGTCATCAGGAAATTTTTTCAGCTGTTCAAAATTTATGAAAACAGCTGTAATACGGCGAGCCAAGCACAGTACTTTCGAATGGCCGAAAATATATACGTACGTAGTTTTTGTTTTACAATGAGATCTATCTATAGAATAAACTACTATTGTAACGATGAGTTTACAACTTTTTATGTAATCATCATATATACTATTTTGTTAAACATATAAAGTGATTTTACATAATGTCCCTGATATAATAATAACAATAGGTTTGAATTATTATCGAATTAGTGCAATCATCGAATTTTGTGAATCCTACATGCGAATGCTATTGTTGTAATATGCGGGATTCATAAGATTCAAAGGTCAATGATTGAACTAATTTAAAAACAGCGATAAATGAAATCACAATTTCGTCATGAATTGGTAATAATGCAATTCTTGAATGTGTGCCAGCTCAGCAATTCTTTAAAGTTCGGTTATGTTAGGGTTAGGGTCAGGTTTGGAATCAGAGGAGAGTAGTTTATGTAGTAAAATTACCCAACGAAACCTTTTATTAGAGTATTAAAGATTTCTTATGCTGATTTTTTGAGAAGTAAGCGATTCTTGACAAACGGACGAAATCTGGTTCGTAGTTCAGGAAATCTGCGCCACAAACCTGGCACACATTCAAGAATTGCGGCAAGCGTACCTTCTTGTACAATGATTTGTGCTAATCTAAAAATAGTTAACAAAAACTGGTTGATAATCAATTACAGAACTATAATCTCGTTATAGTAAGCGAATAACAAAAACCGAATTCGATTCTGGAGAGTGGTTCTGCTAATTCACTCGAGAAGAACAAATCGTAAGAGGATGACTCACACAGTTCACCTACGCCACCAACCTAGCACACATTCAGGAGATGCAGACGTTCTTTCATTAATAACGATACGTTCTATCATTCATATTTAAAATTTCAATCCACGCATTTCGAATTACCAACCTGCGTATATGCGGTATATACGACATTGTATTACTTTCAATAGATATTTGAAACCACAAATTCTAGAAAGATTAGTAATTACTAAAATGACGATAAGCAAACAAAATGCATGAATCATATGGCGAAGTTTCCTAAAAATGTTTCCAGGAACTTATACAGTATAATGATAAAATATGATGTAGACTGTACGTATTTGCATACGTACTGGTTTTTTGATTTATCAAAAGGAGGATCTCCGCTTTAAAAATCTCCACTTCTCCATTTACAGATTTCATTTCAATTAACAATGGCAACTTCGTGCAAAAATGACGGCTCTAAAAAATGCACCATTTTTATTGCCCCCCTAAAAGAATAAAACTAAAAATCATCAAACTATCAATGTCGCCACTTATAATAAAATGGAAAGTCAGAAAGTAAAAATACTACCCAGATGTTCAATTGCTTTCCAAAATTTGCAGACGAGTTGACGAAATTTAGACAACTATGGTGGGATCAGGGTAATATTCACCCAAAGGCGAATTGGGAAAACGCCCCGTAAGTTATTTTTTTAATAAAATTTTCATAAAACAAAAAATTGTTATTAATACAGTCTATTTACTATACTTTTAGTTTACCTTATGAGCTTAAGTCTAATGTTAGTTGGGACAAGTATGTCGAACGAACTGACAAGCACAACGTGCATGGCATGTGGGAATGGAATAATGGAAAAGTTTTCGTGTATGAACTTCCTTCTGCACCTCACGAGTCTGCATGTGCTGGATTGATTCGTTTATTGAATTTTGAATTAGCCGGCGTATTTCTTACTGATTATGATTTCATTTTCTTAGGATCAATGAGTATATTTTTGTTTATAATTATATAAATTAATGCGCGTTTTACGGTATATTAATTGTTCTTTACTTAAAAGCAACAAAAGCAGAACATATAGGTAAAGAAGCAGATGGGTGTTTACGGCCAGAAAAAAAACTTGCTGTAGATTCTGATGGGTGTGATGGGCTGGTATAGGGATTTGAACTTTTTATTATTTTGAAAAATTAAAAATTTCTGTATGATTTAATATATTGTATCCTTTAGCATCAACCTTGGCCAAATTTGGTAGTTGAAGTTGCTTATTCAGAAAGTGAAGAGCATCTTTTTGACAAAATAAAAAATTATTGGCTTCGACCTAATAGAGCACATGATGTTATCGCCATCAAAATAGAACCACCCAAAGCACCAGAGACGATTCCCTCCCGAATGACTGTAAATAATTATATAAATTTACACTGTATTTCATCAAAATTGTCTTATTATAATTTTGTTCTTTATAGGCATGGTACTTTTGCACAGATAATCGAATGGCTGATGACAATCTTGATCCTATAGTATGCTATATCATTATTTAATTGTTTGGTTTTTAGACAATTTATATATTTAGGAAAAAGTTAAATAATTCTCTATTAAAGGAATTTGAATTCGGAACCATTGATAAGTTTGGTAATCAGCTTAATATTCAACCCGGACAATGCATTATCAATATTCGGCTAGAATGTCTCTATATGGGAATGCAGCCTGAGTTCCAACTTCCTACACAAGCTTTACCCAATCCAATCTCCATCGACCTCTACCCCGTTCGAAGGTCTATATTATCATCCATCATTTGTCCGTCCTCTCAATAGATGAATCGATATAGCTATAAATTTTTAGTTTGATTTGTCTTGTGACATATACTGTATATCCAAATGTATTTAGCAATATGAAATGTTCGATATTTCATTAATATTTTTGTGTATAATAAAGAATCTTCAACAGAATTTTTACGAGTTATAAATTTAAGTCTTAAAATACATGAATGTATTTGTTATTAGATATATTATCAAGTATAAACTCGTAATTTTCATCGAAAATTCAAATTTTAGGTTAGAATTATTTAAAAAATTCAAATCATTATTTATTTATAAGTATCAGGATCGTTTAGCTTCCTAATACATTGATTATTAAGGTTTTAAATTATTTTAATTTGACACAAGATCTAATTTTATGTAAAATATTACTTAGGTAATTCAAGTGAATTATTATTTGTGTGCCTATAACAAGATCAAACTTCGTATTATTAATCAATCCATTTGCTACAAGAAAGACTATTATTTAAGAGTATAAATAGGAATTTATTAAAAATTTAAAGATAGTATTAATTTGATACAAACACTTTTACAATTTGCTTGTTGTAATCTAAAACTATCTCGGTGATTTGCTTATTGCTACTGAGATTCTTATCATTAAAAGTAGGAATGTCATAATTAAAGGAAATATACGTGAGATTTTATCTAAGTTGATTTTTAATGTAGTTCTGTTTGGCATGAGTGCACGAATGACTTCGTTATTCTTGAACACACAATTAACTATCATCATAAGGTGATCTCATCTAGCTGTTGTTTAACTAGACAGATCTTCGACTATACAACATGATAGTAATGGCAGATATCTTGGATGTAAATATAGAATATGTATATGTTATTGTCCACGAAGTGGACAATAACTGATTTATTCCCAGGTTCTAATTATACTTTTATACTTTTCTTTCAATTAAAAGTGACGTAATTCATACAATTTAAACTTTATATAAAAAGAATTTGATCTAAAAAAAAAAAGGTTCTTCTTAAATCGAAAAAACTTTCGTTTTATTTCAACTCATGAATTAATCGAAGAGAATACTATATCAAATATGTCAGAACATGAAAGTATTAACACAATATTCAATGATACTTAAAAAAATCTAAAATCAAAAATACCGATTCTTGTACCCAAAAATGGGTTCGAATTTTACAAGACTATCGTAAGAAAAAGAATATACCATATGAAACCCAAACATTAGCGAATAAAGAAAAACTTGAGCATGAACTATTTGAATTTTTTGCTGATATTAAGCGATAGGATGGAAAACATTATAAAGTCAATCAATTGTATTAACTTACATCTCTCTTCGATGTTTTTTATTTGAGTTCTTCCGCAAATTAAAATTTTTTGAAGTTATTGCTATAGTAATTGTCTGGTACTGTTCAATAGAATTTTAACTGTTTATAATTTAAAAAAAGGAACTGGACCAATTCGAACAATTCTAAATAATTTTACTTCAAAGTATTGACATTTTTAAATAATTGACTAGAACCGAATTGACATTTTTAAATAATTGATTAGAACTGAACAATTTTAAATGCACATAATTGAATAAAGTATTCGACCTGGTTCTGATAATTGGTATATGTAGTTATAGCTTAAAAAAGTTTTGGCTCAGTTTAGAGAAACTAAAAACTCTGGATCAGCTTGAATCTGAAATCTGGATAATAAGCATGAAAGAGAAGTATGAAAATATAAATAAGAACTAGAAAATAAAATATCTTTATCTCTACAAACCTGGTTACAAAACTACTTTGTCATATTAATTCTAACAAAACTTTTAATCTACATGTCAATTTCCTTAATATTGCATACTCTGTAACTATACAACATCCTTTACATATTCCATCATCTTCTTCAATAATAATTAATCCACAATAATTATCTTGTATCTTTCAGTCTAACCAACTTACTAATAGCTTATAATCATTACTAATTTTAAGTACAATCTAACTTGTATTTCATTTTATACTAATAGTTCTATTATCGAGTTTGATACTTCTCAATACTTCATGATCATAGGTTGGGTTCAAGTTGATAATTTTGTAACTATTCATTTATTTTAGACACAAATCAAATTTATTATATTTCTTCAAAACTGAAATTCTTGCTATTTTCTTAGTAATTATAACTGTTTTTAGAAACTGTTCTGTTCATATATTCATTGCCTTACAATCTGTAGTCTCCAAATACTACAGTATCTATTCATCAGCATCCAAACTCTCTCATACTTATACTCCATACTTCTTTATTTGACAAACTCTTATCAACTTCATTAACTCATATATTATTTAGCTTATCTTTTACAAAATTAGTTTATACCAAGATGACCCATTTAATAACTTTGTTGACCAACTCATTCATAGTCACCAAATACTAGTTTTTTTAATATTCTTAATTAACAATCTTTATAACTTTGTCTACACCCTATTTATTGATCAATTTTCTATTAAAATTTCTATTCAACATTTTATTCATATTATATATCAAGCCTATATTATAATATTTTGAACATTCTAATATCATTTTTAACAATAGTCTACTATTGTCTCTAATATCAACTAGAAAGCCACTTGGTTTTATATTAATAATAATCAAAAGGTCACTAACTTTGCTTATAGCTTTCATTCCTCTATTTTAAAAACTTTTATATTAAAATTCTCTTGGATGAATTACCTTTTTTCCATATTCTTTATAAATATAATTCTTCTTATTTCTTTTTTTGTCATCAATGTAATCAAACTAGTTCTTCATTACACTGGACTCTTTGTTCTTCTATTCAAACAATTTATCATTTAATTTCTAATTTTATTAATTGCATCTTAAATGTTACTGCTCTTAATATGTCTACCAATCTTGTTTCTAATTTATATCAAGAAATTCTTATACTTAATAGCTTTAAATTACATAACTTTTCATATATTCCATCTCTTATTTCTACTCTATCTGGTCTAGTTCCTATTGACCTTATTTCTATTATTAATAATATTTCTATTTTTTATTATTCAGCTATTTTTTTTTTGATTAAATTTCTTCTTTATTTAAATCAACGAATATATAAACAAATATGAATCCCATATTGTATTTTATATTCTGCACAGCCTCAAACTACACTAACTACAAATTCAACTCATATTTCTTCTTCTAGCTTATTTTTATCCTCTATTTTAATACTATAAATTATTATCAAAATTGATCTTTGAACTATCCAATGGATTAATTATCATCCCCCTCTCTCTTATATTATTACTAATATCCAAATTTAGATAAGTTTTGACTACTTTTGTAAATTTAGATTACAGATTATATGTCTGAGTTTTTATTTTTCATATGTAATTTAAAAGCAAGCTTTTTTTTATAAAAACTTCAATTGAATTTTAATAAAGTTAAAGACATGGTCTCACTATTAATATTTAAAAAAAATAAAATAAAGTGAATGATATTTAAGTAGTTTAGCTAATTTGATTTCATAAATAGTTTTGATTTTTTTGTAAAGAATGTTTTTAGTAACAGCTTTGAAAAGTGTTTTAAGTATTTTGTTCTAAACTAGATTAAGTTCATTTTGATTAGAAATATTTAATATTTTAGTTTAAAATTTTTGAAGATTTTGTGATATTTAGTTTAAATAATTTTCAAGATTTTTCTTAAAATAGTTTTTTTAAAAAAAGTTTTTTCTTGTATATTGTTGATAAGTTTTGTTTTACTAATAGTTATAGATATATTAAAAATAAAGATTTTGTAATCAGATTTAGATGAGATATCTTTAATAATATCAATATAGTTAATTTAAGATATGCTTAAATTTGTTCATATTTGGTTAATATTACTGTTTGTGATTGAGCAAATAAAAGTAAAGTTGTGAGTTAAAGAAAAGAAGAATTGATATATGGGGGGATGCCAGTAGAAACCAAGCAATTCATTTTTAGTATGTTTTTTTTAAAATTTTAAATTAAAATATCTCAATAACTATTAAACCAAACTTGGTAAATTTTTTTTTATTTTAATTTTATAGCTATATAGAATTAAAATAAAAAAAAATTTATCAAGTTTGATTTAATAATTATTGAGATATTTTGCTTTAAAGTTTTAAAAAAATTTACTTAGAAACAAATTGCTTAGTTTCTACTGGCACCCTTCATATATCTTTAAATTAATGACTAATTAGATATTTAAGAATTTGAAATTCTGAAATTAAAATGTTTTTATGAGAATTTCTATCCAATCAGAGATTAGAAGTACTATTAAAATTATCAAGTATTATTAGTTAATAGTTTAAATTATTGTAAAGTAAAATAATTTGTTCTTGGATTTCAGAGCATAGTTGTTTTTTCTTTGCTGTTAGAAGACAAATTTAGAGAATATAAATAGAATTGTATTTGAAATATAAGTTGAGACCAATTATATGGCCATTGTATATTCTAGCTATATATTTGGAGATTCTGTTATATATAAAAATTTCAACACCTGCTTAATAAGAATTTTTAAAAGAACTCCAGAAACTGTTATAGTTTTGAAGGTTTTTGTTAATATATTTTCCTTCTTTTGAAATTAGATATATTTCTGATAATCCAGAGATATCAAAATTATATTAGTTCATTATGTTAATAAGTAAGAGTTTTTTTAAATATTAAAATAAACTATTAATGTTTAGAGAACCAATTTTTATAAAGATTAAGATAATAGGTAAGAGAGTTGTTTGTAAAAAAGATATACTATTAGTAGTTGTAAAGTTAGAGTTATATAAATTAGAAGAAATAAGATTTGAATTATTGTTATTATGTTTATTAAAGAAAAGATTATCTAAGATAGTAAGAAGTTGTGTATTAAAAATTTGATTTAATAGAAAAGTTATTGTATAGATAATAATATAAACTTGAAAAAAATATGTAATTAGATAAAAGTTTATATTTTAGATTTTTATAGATATATGTTTTAGTAAATGTATTATTAATAAAGATTTTAAAAAGTTTATTAAAAAGATTATTTTTTAGATATTAGATAA